GGGGGGGGGGCGGGGGGGGGGGGGTCGGGGTGTCGCCCAGGCCTGGAGTACAGTGGCCGGAGTCTCAGCTCACCTATGCAAGCCCTCCGCCTCCCCGGGTTCATGCCATTCTCCGCCTCAGCCTCCGAGTAGCTGGGACCTACAGGCGCCCACCTCCGCCCGGCTAGTTTTTGTATTTCTAGTAGAGACGGGTTTCAACCGCTGTTACCAGGATGGGTTTCGATCTCCTGCCTCGTGATCCGCCCGTCTCGGCCTCCCAAAGTGCTGGGATTACAGGCTTGAGCCACCGCGCCCGGCCCAAAAAGTTACTTTTTAAGTGATTTCCTAATCAGTTAGATTAGAGATACACTCTGAAGTATTCATAGTTGGAAAAACCCAGTAACTTCTGGAATTTGCTATAAAATGGTCCAGGAAAGAAAAAAGTAGAACAGGGAGAACAGACAAAACAAGACTAGCAAAATGTTAATCAATGAGGACACCGGATGATGGACCGTGGATGATGGACCGTGGGCAGTGATTATGCTAAGCTCTCTAATTTGGGGTATGTTTGAAAATCTCCATAAAAGTAAAATTTTCAGGCTGGGCGCGGTGGCTCATGCCTGTAATCCCAGCACTTTGGGAGGCCGAGACGGGCGGATCATGAGGTCAGGAGATCGAGACCATCCTGGCTAATACGGTGAAACCCCGTCTCTACTAAAAATATTAAAAAAATTAGCTGGGCGAGGTGGCGGGCGCCTGTAGTCCCAGCTACTCAGGAGGCTGAGGCAGGAGAATTGCGTGAACCCGGGAGGCGGAGCTTGCAGTGAGCTGAGATCAAGCCACTGCACTCCAGCCTGGGTGACAGAGCGAGACTCCGTCCCAAAAAAAAAAAAAAAAAAGTAAAATTTTCAAGTTGAACTCTAGAGAATAAAACTAACAACAGGGCCGGGCGCAGTGGCTCATGCCTGTGATCTCAGCACTTTGGGAGGCCAGGGCAGGTGGATCACTTGAGCTCAGGAGCGTGAAACCAGCCTGGACAACATGACAAAACCCCACCTCTACTAAAACTACAAAAATTAGCCAGGCGTGATGGCTCACGTCTGTAATCCCAGCATTTTGGGAGACTGAGGCGGGTAGATCACGAGGTCAGGAGTTCAAGATCAGCCTGGCCAAGATGGTGAATCTCTGTCTCTACTAAAAATACAAAAAATTAGCCGGGCATGGTGGTGGGCACCTGTAATTCCAGCTACTCTGGACGCTGAGGCAGAGAATTACTTCAACCCAGGAGAAGGAGGTTGCAGTAAGCTGAGACTATGCCACTGCACTCCAGCCTGGGCGACAAGAGTGAAACTCTATTTCCAAAAAAAAAAAAAAAAGCAGGCACGGTGGCTCACGCCTGTAATCCCAGCACTTTGGGAGGCTGAGGGCTGAGGTGGGCGGATCACGAGGTCAGGAGATCGAGACCATCCAGGTTAACACGGTGAAACCCCGTCTCTACTAAAAAGTACAAAAAAATTAGCCAGGTATGGTGGCGGGTGCCTGTAATCCCAGCTACTAGGGAGGCTGAGGCAGGAGAATTGCTTGAACCCGGGAGGCAGAGCTTGCAGTGAGCCGAAATCGCGCCACTGCACTCCAGCCTGGGCGACAGAGCAAGACTCCATCTCAAAAAATAAATAAATAAACAAGTAATAATAATACAAAAATTAGCTGGATGTAGTAGTGTGAGTCTGTACCCCAATTACTAGGGGCGCTAAGGCAGGAGATCAGTTGAGCCCAGGAGGTCCAGGCTGCAGTAAGCCAGGACTGCGCCACTGCACTCCAGCCTGGTTGACAAAGTAAGACCCTGTCTCAAAAAAAATTAAAACAACAACCAAAAAAAAAAAATGACGATAGGTTAGAGACCTATTCTCTTCCACATAAGCCTTGCACTGTTGCTCAGGCTGGAGTACAGTGGCTCCATTTCCGCTCACTGCAACCTTGGCCTCCTGGGTTCAACCAATTCTCCTGCCTCAGCCTCCTGAGTAGCTAGGACCACAGGTGCGCGCCACCACGACCAGTTGAATTTTGTGTTTTTAACAGAGATGGGGTTTCACCATGTTGACCAGCGTGGTCCTGAACTCCTGACCTCAGGTGATCTGCCCGCCTTGACTTCCCAAAGTGCTGGGATTACAGGCGTGGGCCACCGCACCCGGCGACCTTCTATGCTTCTTGATTTACCCCGGAAGAAAGACGCAGACGCCTGAACACAGACACTGCTGTCACAAAGCATGCCTGCCCCAAGAAGCTGAGACAAAACTGCAAAGCAAAGGGAGGGCCCACCCTGACCCGACCCTGTGTGCGTGCCCCTTACGCCCCAAGGTTGGCATCCTGATAACAAAGGGTTTTACCTGCAGTTCTCCTTGAAGCGGCACTTTCCCTCCAGGAAGAACGGGCACGGCTTCAGAGACTTGTGAGTGGGGTACAGGTAGAGCACACGGACACCCGCCGAACCATCCTCCGCCTCTTCCGCTCCCACCACCATGGCGTTGTGATACTCCAGAGTGCCCCATGAGCTGTAGTAGGGTGCGCTCACCTTTGTCCCACTCAGCTCGTCCTCATCCTCTCCCTCTTCCTCCTCCTGCCCACCTGCTGCAGATTCGGGCCCCGCCTCTGCTTTAGGAACGGTCTCTGATCCGGACTCAGGGGCTGCTGCTGGCGCCTCCACCGCCTCAGTGATGGCCTCCCGGAAAGCCTGGTACTCAGCATCTTCCCGGCCCGTGCGCTCTTCGTCCAGCGCGGCCAGCAACTTGCTCTTCCTGACAGACACCAGGCTGGCCTCGGTGAGCTCGATGAGCTCCTTCAGGTCCCCCTGCAGCTGGCGCAGGTCCGCCTGCTCAGACGAATCCAGGACGGCGCCCAGGGCCAGCTCCACCTGCTGCAGCTGCGCACGGTAGGTCTGCAAGGCCGACTCCAGGCTCTCCTCGTCCATGCTGAGAGAGGGAGGCGCTGGACCAGGGCTGCGAGAAGAGAAGCCAGGTGAGCCCCGCGTCTCGGGACCGGCCCCACAGACTGCGGGAGGGCACGGGCACGTCCCCTTTCCCTCGGGGAGACACCGGCTCAGAGGCACAGCTCCCAGCGCAGAGGTCGCAGACCGGGTACCCTCGCTCAGGCTCCGCGCTTCCCTTCCGAGCCGCCCTGGGCTCGCCGCTAGCCGGGTCCCGCGTCACTCCGGAGACCCCTCCCCGCGGGGCGCCCCGCCGCCCGGCCCTCCGCCGAGCCCACCCGCCGCGCCCGCTACCTTCCAGGCCGGCCCCGCCCCCGCGCCCGGCGTCTCTGCAGTCTGGCCAAGGCCGCGTCCCCGCAAACCGCGGTCCCCTTTCCCGGGGCAGGGAACCTCCCCCGCGCGGTTTCCCAGCCGCCGCCATAGAGAGCCCGCCGGCCTCACCGGCTAGAGCGGCCCGGCGCCCCCCTTTCGTCCCCGCCGCCGACCAGCACTTCCTCCCGAGCGCCGCCACTTCCGGAAGTGCCTGGCGCGCGGGGGCAGCCGGGAAGCGGAGCGCGGAGGCCGCCGGGACGCGTTTCAGCTCCTTCCCTGAGGCCGGCTCTCGTCCCGTCAGGCGCCGCGCGGGGTTAGCGCGGGGTCAGCGGAGGTCAGCGGGGGTCAGCAGCGGCGGCTCCGAGGTCGCGGCGGTCGCAGGTAGGCCGCAGGCTATGCGGTGGGGCGCGAGGCCCGAGGGGCGGCCCAGAGCTGGAGGTGGGACGCAGGTGTGACAGGAACCAGCTTTGGCTGCTTGTCGGCGAGCCTCCAACCTGGCGGCCGCGGCATGGGGCGGCCGTAGCCGGGGTCCCCGACGCGGGTTCTTCCTCCGCGGGAGTCGTTCCCTGCCCGCCGCGCGCCGCCTCCGGGAGCAGCCGGGCCGCTGCGCACCCGCCCCGTAGTCCGCTCCCCGCTGGCCGTCCCCGTTTTAAGAAATGGGTTGATGGGGCGTCCCTGGGGAGCTCCTGGGGAGCGCGCCGGCGGCTCGCTGCTCTCGGGTGGGGCGCGGGGGCCCAGGCGGGGCTGCCGCGAGTGTGTTCCCCGTTCCGCGCGCGTGAAGCGTGGGAGCGAAACCTCGGGGGAGGGCGGGAGCGCAGCGGAGCTCACCGTGAACACCCGGCTGGGTGGTCCCGCGAGCAGGGGAGGGACCGGAGCCGCTGCGGGTTCGGAAAGGTCGCAGTCATTGCTGTGAGCGGAAGCACGGAGTGGCGGCCGGCCTGGGAGGAGTTGCAGGGGTGCGGTGGAAGAGGGAGAGTCGGGAGCGGCCCCCGGGCTCTCGTCCTGAGCGGCCAGCTGGACGTGGGGCGCCCCTGACCGCCGGGGAGAAGCGCGGGGGAGGGAGCTGCGTTCTGGCTGCACACTGACACGTGTGGGGGCGCCCAGGGCAGGATGTACACGCTGCTGTCGGGCTTGTACAAGTACATGTTTCAGAAGGACGAGTACTGCATCCTGATCCTGGGCCTGGACAATGCTGGGAAGACGGTGAGTGCCCACTCCCTTGCCCGCACCTTTCCCACGGCCGGGTGGCCCCCGCTTCGGTTTTGTGCTGTCAGCTGCATGTTCACTACCCAGATGGAAGCCACATTTCACCTGAGACGACAGGATTGTCACCACCAGCTTCCTGAAGAGCAGAGTGTTGCTTTGTTTCTGTTTTTCTCTCTCCAGGAACAGGCCTGAGGAAGGATATTTGGGAAGCCAGTGTAGCCCCTACTTGATGTGTCTTCCTTTTCCTCTCTCCTCAGACCTTCCTGGAGCAGTCAAAAACCCGGTTTAACAAGAACTACAAGGGAATGAGTCTATCCAAAATCACCACCACCGTGGGTCTAAACAGTAAGGGGTCTAAACAGTAAGGGGTCTAAATAGCAGGCTGTGGGTTTGGGGCCTTGAGGATGCTGTGACGTTCACAGTCCAGCTGGCCCTTGGCCACAGTCCTGTCAGTCCCCTCTCAAGTCTCATTTGAGTGGCACCAGCATGGTTTGCTCCATCCCCCGGGAGAGCTGGGACTGGGTGTGTCGAGGACCAAGGTCACGAGCCTTGCCTGTTTCCTCCTCTCCCCAGTTGGCACGGTGGATGTGGGAAAGGCTCGGCTCATGTTCTGGGACTTAGGAGGGCAGGAAGAGCTGCAGTCTTTGTGGGACAAGGTAAGACTCCCTGGTCAGGACCACCCCCCCTCCAGCCCTTCAGTGCCATTTCTTTCCAGAGGGCACCCTTTGGGCCTTTCCTCAGCAACTTTCATTACCCACTTTGTCCCTGGGGGTTTCTCTCTGGTCCTGTCCCAGGTTCCCGAGTGGCTCCCTGGTTTGTCCCAGCCAAACCCTTAGCTAAAGTTGCCCCAAAAGTGGTGGTAGGGGAGTTTCCTACTTGGGAGTTCCCTGTGATGGGGCCAGTGGAGATTCCAAGGAAAGAATCTCTAAACGCCAAGGCAATCAGATCAGAGCATGTATTAGGGAACTTGTTGACAGAGTGGGCATCCTCAGGTCAGGGCATGCGTTAGGGGAACCTGTTGACAGACTGGGGCATCCTCAGGTCAGGGCACGCGTTAGGGGAACCTGTTGACAGAGTGCAGCATCCTCAGGTGACCAGCAAAGGGAAGGGCGTGCTCACTGGTCCTGTCCGAAGCTGGGAGAGCAGGGTGTGGCGTTTAAACGAAAATTTAAGGAATTGGGTTCAGGGCTGGGGCTAATTTGTTTCAATGTTTTGAAACCTGAACATTATGTTAACAACCTAAACATCTTACAAGTGTCGGAATGTTCAAGCCCTGGCTTGGGTTTGAGCCCAAGGGAAACCTCGTTGGCCAGGTCAGAGAGGTCAGGGCAGTGTGTTTCTTTCTCAGTCAGGACAAGACAAAGTGTGGGGACCTGGGGACCCTGCACTCCCCCAAAGCGAGTGCCTCCTTCCAGCTCAGAGATCTTGCTGCTCACCACCACGACACAGAAATGGCAAAGACCAGCCAGATGTGGGGAAGGCATGACGGCTGCCTCTCCCCGATGGGGTTACCTCAGTTCTAGCTTAACATTCGTTCTTCCGTGGTCACCAGAAGACTCCTCAGGGTCCCGCAGCAGGGTCTCCTCGTTTGACACAGGTTTTGGGCTTTTCTGAGATCCCAGTGTGGTGCCCCTCCCCCACACCCCCCAGACTACAGTTTCTCTCCTTCTCAGCCTGGGCCAGGCACTGAGTCCAGCACTGAGCAGGGCAGAGCCTGTGGCTTCCTGGGGCTCCCTGCCCTAGGCTGGCACAGTGGGTGTGGGGCGGCCCCGGTGCCTTGGCTGCCCTGATGCTTGCCAGCCGCCAGCTCTAGAGTTGAATGCCCAGGTCCTGATCTCCTTTTTGATCCCAGTTCCTCTTGCCTAGGCCCCACCGAAGTGTCCCCTCCTGCCGTGACTTCTAGCCAAGAGGTCATTTCTCCCATGGCCAAGTGATCTCTGATAGATCCTGTAGGTCCACTGTAGTCAGGTGGGACAAGCTGAGTCAGAGCCTGGGTCCAGTGCCCAGCGTGCTTGGGGAGGGACAAAGATGATGATGATCTTGTCACAGGCCAGTGTCTCAGGCACAGATGCCGAGACAGGTTAAGGTACAGGATGTATATTGGGGGTCAGCATCAGGAAGGCAGCGAGGATGGGAGAGGAGAGGTCGATTCAGGCAGCAGGATCCGCGGAGCTGTGGTTGGCCCAGCAGGGAGCCCTGGAGGAGAACTGGCTGTGCTGGGCCATGTCGGGCCAGGCTGGCCGGGACTTCACGCCACGGCCCGGTGGGTCTCCAGCGTGGGCTGCCCTGGGCAGGTGTGACCTGGCAGCATGGCTCTTTGCAGCCAGAGTGGGTCCCACAGAAACCAGAACGAGGCCATCCGCTGGTACAGTGTTCTCCAGCATGAAGCAAGAATACACTGGGGCCACAGACGCCTGCACTGGCCGCAGCCGCAGCCTTGCATGGACCCACGCTTCCACATCGGAGACGGGCTCCTCCAAGGTCCCGAGGGTCTCTCTTAAGGGGAAACTGGAAGAGGGAGACTTAAGGGGGCCACTATAGCTCATCCTTGCTGCTGGACTTAGGGCTGCATTCTTCCTTGAGTGTCCCCCCAGTTCACTACCACTTCTGCTGGAGTGTGATTTCCTGGTAGTCTGAGTCCTTCTCCAGACGCCACCTTGGTGGGGCCAGTGGCTCTCTGGGTCCCCAGCTGTGGGATAGCAGCCCCGTCTCCTGCCCACCAGGGTCTCCTAGATATGAGGTGCATTTCATGCCCGTGAGGCAGCTGTGGCTCATCGTTCAGCGTGTCAGCTGAGTATGTGCTGCTCTAGTGGCTGGGACGCCTGACCCTGCTGAGCTCAGAGCTGGGAGGATCAGCAGCAGAGACCCCCCAGGAGGGACCGGAAGGGAGGTCTCTGCTCCCACCCCGGTTCCTGCATCCTGCATCCTGCATCCTTGTGCAGAGCGAAAGGGCTCTGCTCCCACCCCGGTTCCTGCATCCTGCATCCTGCATCCTTGTGCAGAGCGAAAGGGCTCTGCTCCCACCCCGGTTCCTGCATCCTGCATCCTGCATCCTTGTGCAGAGCGAAAGGGCTGTCATTGGGAATTGGCCTCGTCCTGGGGCTGGACCCCGGGCCGGCGTCCACGGGTGGCATGTGCCAGGACCTCAGCTCCTGGGTTCTTTGCTGTGACACTAGTCTCTCAGGCTGGCTGGCACTTGGCAGTTGGGGAGCTCCCATTGCTGCTGGGGAGAAACACTCAGACCCACAGTCCCTCTGATTGCTCCGCTGGGGTCAGCTGGCCAGCCAGGAGCCACGCTTGGACATTTCCCTCTTCCCCTCGTTGTGGGGTACCACACAGTGACCACTGCTGTGACGCCTCCACTGGGGCTTGGGGCTCTAGGTCCTGCCTGCACTCAGCCCTGAGGTGCCGCTCCCGTCTCACTGCAGCCCTGCTGGGCTGTGTGCCTTGTGCCTGGTAGGTGTGATGGGTGGCTCTGACCACGCACGTGGTCCCATGGTCCAGGACCCGGTTGCACATGAACCTTCTGCCACCCTGTTCAGAAGCCCCGGGGGCCACGTGGGGATTCTCTCACTGGGCTTGCTGCAGCCTCCACAGAGCCGCCCCTCCCGCCGCAGAGGTCTCCGCCTCAGGGTCCGCCTGCTCCTGGGTGTCAGCAGCAGACAGTCTCCACACTGCAGGGTCCCCTGTGGGGCTGGTGGCCTGTGTGTGGCACCTGCCTGTAGGCCAGAGAAGTTCCTGGGGGTGTGGGGGGGCCTCGCTGCCTGCAGAACCCTGGAGGATACCTGGCCTTGGGCTTCTTTCTCCACTGTGAGAAGTGCAGGTGCACAAGCTTGTCTGGCGCTGGGATGGGGTTGCCTGGTACTCCCTGCTCGGACACCCTAAGGATTTCGGAGAGTTGGGCGGTGCCTCCTGACTTCTCACGCTCTCAGGGGTATGTGTGTCTTAACACACTGACCACCAGCTTGTCCTACCTGGTCAGCATCCAGTTCCAGGTCTGTGGGACCTCATGCCCAGGCAGGAGAGCTGGCACAGCCTGGAGGCAAAGTGGCAAATGTGAGCTGTTTGCTCCACGTGGATGCGGAGTTTCCTGTATTCTTTTCTGATTCCGACAGAGGTGCACTCATCTGGTCCGGGGCTCGGCACTCGTACCTGAGGCCGCAGGGTCTGTGCCCTGTCTTGCCCAGCAGTGTCGCCAGCGAGCCCAGGACTGACCAGCCCAGCCTGCAAAAGTCTTGAGTTCAGTGACTCTGGCCCTGTCCTGGCAGGGAGGGCTCGCCTCGTACATGGCGCTGGTCAGTGTTGTCATCCGCATGGCCACAATCCCTCCCCGCACGAGGTGCTGGCACGGAGCCCCACAGGTGCACTCCCTCGACAGGCCAGGCTGTGGTTTGTGTTCCTCCAGCCCCCAAACCCTATCTTTTTTTTGAGATAGGGTCTCTCATTCTCACCCAGGCTGGAGCACAGTGGCATGATCAGAGCTCACTACAGCCTCAACCTCCCAGGCTCAAGCCATTCTCCCACCTCAGCCTCCCAAGTAGCTAGGACTATAGGCGCACATTACCATAAGCTTTTGTAGAGACGAAGTCTCACTACATTGCCCAGGTTGGCCGTGAACTGGGCTCAGGTGATCCTCCTGCTTCTGCCCCCCAAAGTGTTGGGATAATTGTGAGCTACCATGCCTGGCCCAATCCCTGTCTTTCACCTTTTTCTCTGGCCACCATCAGGCCAAAGGTTGCAGGCAGGTTCTTAGGAGCAGTGCCTGGGGGCACCTCCACCAGATTTCCCCACAACCCCGGAATGCATCCCAGAAGGGTCTTGCAAGCGGGAGCTGCTCTTTTGTCCATTCCTCATGTGAGCCCCCCACAGTGGCCATGACACAGGCCTGGCCCTTGGCAGGGTGGGGACTGAGCCCCAACTCCTGCTTCCTCCCAGTATTATGCAGAGTGTCACGGCGTCATCTACGTCATTGACTCCACCGACGAGGAGAGGCTGGCCGAGTCCAAGCAGGCGTTCGGTGAGTGCGGCCTGGCTGCTCTGGGAGGGGTGGATGGTGAGTGGGGGCAGGTCCAGCTTGGGCAGCTCTGTACCTGGGGCTGGCTCAGTGTCTGGTCAGAAGCGCTCCTGCCTCATGGGCAATGGGGGGCAGAGGGAGCAGCTGTCGGCGTCCACGGCTGTGGGCCCCAGGGCAGTCAGAGGCAGGATGCTGGGTGTGAGGTGCTGCCTCTCCTGCCCTCCCCAGAGAAGGTGGTGACCAGCGAGGCGCTGTGCGGTGTCCCTGTCTTGGTGCTGGCCAACAAGCAGGATGTGGAGGTGAGCCCCACCCCGTCTCCTGCAGCAGCTTCCCAAGTCCCCAGACTCCCCCACAGCAAGGGGAGCAGTGTGTGCACCCAGACACCCCAGGCCCAGGCCCAGTGACCGCCCAGGGGCACAGAGCCATTCTCAAGGCCCGCCCTGCCCCCAGCAGCTTCCCAAGCCTGGTTCCTCTCCGGACCTGCTGCTGCCAGCCCTGGAGGTTCTCGCACCTCGGGGCAGGCGCCCAGTAGGCCTCTCCCTGCCATGCCGGGCACCTCTCCCCTGAAGGCGACCGTGTCTCAGGAGCGTACGACTGAGCTGTGGGGAGACCCAGATGAAACTCAGACTCAAAAAGTGATGCTGGGGCCCTGGTGGGAGTCAGCTCTGACCCTCACTTGTTCCTGCTACGCTTGGAGGGGGCATCTGTGCCAGCCCCACCCCCAGGGCAGCCCCTCAAGACCCCTCTGAGGTGCTGCTGTCCCCTGGAGCACTGGCCACACTGAATTCTTGCCGTCCTCTTGGAGTGGCTTCCACAGAAGCAGTGCAGCGTCCAGAGGGCCAGGGTGAATCTTTACTGCCCGCCTTCTCTGGGGCAGCTCTGTTGCCCCCAGCCTGTAGGGCTGGCCTCCCCCACAATCTCAGCCGACAAGAGGGCCACCTGGTGTGGGGCAGGGGTCTCCCCTCAGAGGAAAGGGGAGGGCTGCTCTTTTGAGGACTGGGCAGGTGGTTGTGAGCAGAAGTAACCATGATTGCAGACTGCCCCCATCACCGACGCAGGGCTCCCCCCCCATCATCCCTGGCCATGTGGGCCCAACGCAGGGCTCCCACCCCTCCATTATTCCCAGCTGTATGGGCCCCTGGGACCTGCCTCCACCACTGCCCAGGAGGCGTCAACCCTTGGTGCCCCACCTCGGGCCTCATGGTGTCCCCCAGGAAGGGGATGGGGGTGGATTCCTTGCAGCTGTGTGGACGTCTAACGTCTGTCCCAGGCACTACCAGCCATGTTCAGCCTCGGGGTGAGCGCAGGGTCCTCACCGCTGTGGCCTCTGGGAGACACTGGGACCCTCGTGGAGCTCTGCCTGTTTTTCTGGGGTGAAGGGCATATGCCCTTCTGAGAGTCCCAGGCCCACAGGCAGGACAGGGCCAGATGTGGGGGCTGCTTCTCATGGCCTTGCCTCCCCCAGACGTGCCTCTCAATCCCTGACATCAAGACGGCCTTCAGCGACTGCACCAGCAAGATCGGCAGGCGGGATTGCCTGACCCAGGCCTGCTCAGCCCTCACGGGGTGAGTGGAGCTGCACCTGCAGGGGCTTTGGGGACCAAGGCCAGCCCCCTCACACCCCCTGTCTTCACAGCAAAGGGGTGCGCGAGGGCATCGAGTGGATGGTGAAGTGTGTCGTGCGGAACGTGCACCGGCCGCCGCGGCAGAGGGACATCACGTAGGCGCGGCCACGCTGCCGTCGGGACGGCTGGTGCCCAGTGCTGGAGGAGTGGCCTGTTGGCTGCTCGTCTGGGGGGTGGGTTTGCTTTGCTTTGGGGTTCTTCCATTTCCTTTGTTTTCTCGAAGACAAACTTTCCTCTACGTCTGGAAAAGTGTAGGCCTCGGAGGTTTTGGAGGGGAGTCTGGCCGCCTGGCTAGCGCCCTCTGGCGGCAGCCTTTCCATGGGGCGCTGCGGTGGCCTTTCTGGGCCCTTTCGGGGGGGTCTGAGGGAGACCTGGTTGGGAATCGGGGCTCCAGTGTTCAGGCTGGCTTGGACTGCCTGGGGACAGCCCTGTGGGGCCTTTGGGAGATTCCGTGGCTGCATGTCCACCCCATCGAGAAGGAGGCCAGTCAGCCATGGCTGCCCTCTGGCTTGTGCCCTGTGACCCTGGAGGTGGTCTGGGGCTGATCTTGCCTTGAGGAAGACCCAGGCCATGTCCCCAAAGGCCAGCGGGGGCCCTGGATTCTGATGCAGCCTCGGGACAGAGCCGAGGCCGCCTGTGAGGGAAGACATACACTCCGCACTTGAGCCTGGCTTCGCCTCATCTTAATCCCCTGGGAGGGAGCTGATGCAAAAAAGCTGAGGGGGCCTCTGCTGGGAGTGGCTGTTTTTGTGCCCCAGCCCTGCAAGTGGGGAGTGTGTGGGGGGGTCCAGAGCCCTCTCCCAGCCAGGAGAGAACCTCCTGGAGGGGTTCTCTGGGGGGCCCTGTGTCAGTGCTGTGCAGGGCCTGCGTCCCCTGCTTGGGAGTGAGGCTGATCCTGGGGCCCTCCCTGCATAGCCCCCACTGGGCCTGCCGAGGGCTCTGTTCTTCCTCAGTCTGGCTGTGGGCAGGAGCCGCCTGCCCAGTGCTGCCCAGGGTGAGTGCAAAATAAAGACAGCAAGTGTGGGTCTGTCCATCCCTTCCCTCCTGGAGGGCTGAGGCTTGGCTCCTGGCTGTTGGACACGGTGACGGTGGCACTGGGCTGCTCAGGGGCTGGTGGGCAGGTGAGGGGCTCCCCAGGTGGGTCTGGAGCCTGGAGAGTTCAGGCACTCCCTTCCTGCGGATGTGGGAAGGACGTGGGGGGCCTGGGAGGAGCTTCTGGGAAGGGGCATGAGTCAGGGTGGGGGTGGCACAGCAGCTGCGGGGCTGTGACTCACGGGAGTCGGGCCCTGGAAGTCCCCGCATCATCTCCAGGGGACCCTGTGTGTGTTTTGCAGGTTGGTTCCCAGGACCTAGGGGGCGGGGCCTCCAGCCACGGGAAACTGGCCACGCAGGGGAGTGTGGCTGGGGCGGGGAGTGTGGCTGGGGTGGGCCCCCAGTTGCTCTGGATGCATCTGAAGGCTTCAGAGCCTGCCCCAAAGGGGAAAAGCTTCACTTCCCAGGAAGCATGGGAGGCCTGGAGGAGGTGTTTGGCAGGTCTCCTCTTGGGAAATCCCCTGAGAGTTGGGAGTGGGAGGAATTCAAAAGAGGGGGTTAGTGTGGGGCCCCGGCGACTGGGGCTCGCCTGAGCCCCGTCCTGTTCTTCGAGCAATGATACCCTCCCAGGCCTTGACCCTCCCTGAGCTTCAGGGGCCCCCGCCACGTGCCACAGCCAACGGGAGCGTAGAGGAGGCACTCCCAGTGATCCTCCCTGGGAGGGTCTGAGGTAGGGGAAGCCCCGAGCAACAGTTCTGATGGCAGCCTGAGGGATCTGGGCACACCGGGCGGCTCAGGTGTCCGCGGCTGCCCTCCCAGTAGCTGTGCAACTGCAACCAGTTTTATGAAAAGGCTTTATAAAAATAAGCTTTAAGAAACCTCATTTCTTCTATTAAAAAAGCTGCTTTTAGTGCAAGTGGGGTGCCAAGGATGTCGAATAAATAAGGGGGAGAGGGGGCCAGGATCAGTGCCCAGGGAGGAAGCGCTCACGGACGCTCCGCTCCAGCCCGGGCATCCTGGCCACACGCAGTGCCTGCAGCAGCCGCACCAGAAGTGCCCCGTCCTGCGCCTCCAGGAGCTCCGTGAGCCGCTGATGCAGCTTCAGCCGCAAGGCTGCGCGGCCCGCCCTTGGTGTTGGACCCCAGCCCCCCGGGGCCTCAAGGGCCTGCAGCAGCCGCTGCAACCTCTTGATGGAGATATCCTGGAAAGCCACGAAGTCGATGGCGGCACGCTTGCACTCCTCAGTTCCTGCAGTGGGTGGGGAGGCAGCAGTCCCCTCATTTCACCCACAGACACTGGTGGGGGCCTGCGAAGCACCCTGTTTTCTGGGCCCCACCCAGGGGGTTTGCAGGAGAGAAATGCCTGTACAGTGAGCCGTGCTGGAGTGAGCACTGCAAGGGTGGGGACTGGAGAAGGGGCAGGAGCCTTCAGTCAGCGCGGTGGAGCAAAGGCGTGGGGGCAGGAGTGGCCACTCGGCGTTTGGCTGGGAGAGGCAAAGGGGCCCAGGCAGGATCTTAGGGCTCCTGGGCCACTGGAAGGGGCTGGTTGGGATCTGCAGATGGACTGAACCTGACTTCATGTTAACCACTGTGGCTTCTTAACAGTGGCTAACATCGGGCCTCAGTTTCCCCATGTCAGAGGGGCCAGCCACCTTCCTCTCGGGCAGTTAGGAGAGTGCTGCCCACCTTCCCAAGGCTCCTCAGGGGAGTCTCTGCCCTGGCTCGGATCCTAATCCTCAGCCACCCCTGAGGGGGCAGACTTGGTGGGGATCTAGAGGAGGGACCCCTGACCCCTCAAATCCACTGTGGCCCCTTCCCCAAGGCCAGCTGGCATGCTTCAGGCTAGATGCACGTGTAAGGGCTGGAGTGAGGGCACAAGTGGGCCTGGCCTGCAGTGCGCTACTCCCTCAGTCCTGTGGCTCACCTGGTACCCTGGTGCTGAGGGGGAAGGCAGTGCAGCTGGTGCACAGGGCGTCATGGGAGGAAGAGCCTGGCACGTTGAGGGCCAGGCCCAGGGCCGTGCAGTTGCGGTGGGGCTGGCACTGCTCTGAGCTGGAGCTGCTGGCTGAGAAGGTGCCTGGGGGGCACGGCTGGCACTGCGTGTTCTGGCTGGGGGTGCCTGCAGCCGGGAGGGAAGAACAGGGTCAGGGGAACTGGTGTCCTAGCTCAGGGTGCAAGCCTGGTGGGACCAGCAACCTGACCCCTGCCACACCTCCGACCACCACTCCTGGGGGCCCTTCCCCTCACCCGGCTCTCACCCGGGGCCATCACGCCGGTGCCAGGTGGACACGATGCATGCTCCAGGCAGAAACCAGCGTGCGCGAAGAAGCCGGTGCGGCAGCGGCAGGCGCGGTTGTGGGTGGCGTGGCAAGGCCGTGCCTCTTCCTCGCGCTCCCCACAGAGGACGTTGCAGTAGCGGCAGCGTTCCAGGTAGTTCCAGAACTGCGTGTAGTGGCGTGGAGGACACGGGCCACACGTCGTGGGGCTGTCTCGGCGGCAGGGCTGCTGCACAAAGGTGCCTGGGGGGCACTGGGCACACACCAGCCACTCCCCCGTGTCTGTGTCCCGCCAGGGGTAAGTGGGTGCCTCTGTCGCTCCACGCATGGCCGGCACCAGCAGCAGGGTGGGCAGCGCCCACACCAGGCACAGCAGCAGCAGGCCCGGCCCCTCCAGCGCCCTCATGGTCCTTGCTGGAGCAGGGAGAGCGTGGCTCAGCGCGGACACCGGATCCTGCTGTGCCTGACCAACATGCCGCCGCCTCTGCCCTCCGTCAGCCTGCGGAGGGACTGCCCAATCCCCAAGCCCATCCTGCTGCCGCCCTATATGGGCAGGGAGAGGGCTGGGCCAACCTCACCACGCCCCATAGGAACTCCTCCCTCCCCAGGCAGCCCCCCTCACCCACCTGGTACCATCCCTTCCCACAGCTCAGTCCAAGGGTGGTTCTGTGAGGGGCTTCACCAGCCAGGGAACCCAGGGAACCGCCCTCCTCAGCACCTGGGGCAGCTCCTGACCCAGCAACCAGCCCAGGCAGCTGGTGTATTGGTGGATCCCCCCCACCAGTTGCAGCTTGGCTGCAGCAGTGAGGATGAGGGCAGGGCTCAGCCCACTGTGGAGGAAGTAGTGTCACAAGGCAGGCTACGAGGGGCCTGTGCCAACTCCCTGTCTCTCCTCAACTCCCACCACCAAGCCCAGGCCACGAAGACACCGTCCAGGGCACTGCCAGCACTTTTATTAGAGAACCCTGTCGCCTGATGAAAAGTGGACACATGCCCACGGGGGGCTCCTCCTTCCTGGTGAGGGGCTCAGCTGGGATGCCCCTGTGGTACCACTCACAGGCCAGGAGCCAGGGAAGTTCTGGGGAAGCACCTTCCCAGAGACCCACCCCAAACCCCAACGTAGCTCAGGGCTTCTCAGAGGGAGGCCCAGATCCCGTCCCACCGCAGTGGGGCAGGCAGGCAGGCATGGGCTGGCCTATTCTGTTGGGTGGTTCTTTGGCCCACCAGAGCTGGACAAGCACGTGATCAAGCCACGTCGGGTGTGCTGAGGGCCTCCGTGGGCACTCACTGGGGCTCTGGCCAGAAGACCTGCGTGACGCTCTGCTTCCTGGAGGCGGTGTGGCAGGATGGGCACGTCCTAGAGGCCTGTGAGACAACCGGCCCACTGGACGCACCTGCCAGGCGTTGCCACCAGCCCACCACCTGGGGCTATACCCCGCGCTTTCCCCCTCAGCCCACCACCTGGGGCTACACCCAGTGGGAACTGTAGTGGCCAGGCACCAACCTGAAGGTGCCGTTGCCAACAGGCTTGGCAGCGCTGGAAATCACAGGCAGGGCACTGGAAGGGCACCACGTCCTCCGCCCCACAGCCCTGACACACACAGCCTGCTGAGAGGGGCCCACTCGGAGCCTGCTGCCCAGCGAGGCCTCTCCCAGGAGGCTCCCCCCACTCAGATGCTGCAGGCCCATGGGGAGGTCCTGGGGACTGGCCGGGCCCTGCAGCCTCACCGGCCGCCCCCACAGTCCCTGCTGGCCTCTGTCTAAGGAAGGTCGAGATCTTGCTCTGGGTCTTTCCCGGCTTCTCGGACGGTGAGGGGCCTGGAGACGGAGACTGAGTCTAAGCGGGGCCTGGGGCTTTGCTGCTCACTCCCAGGGCTGCGTGCGGTTGGGGCACCGTCAGGAGCAGCCAGGCAGGCGCCCTACCTGGTTGGGGAGCCCTGTGGGTGAGCACAGGAGGCACAGCAAGACTCTCCTCCTGGGGTCCTGGTGGCTCCATGCCCAGGGAGGGTCTGCTGGTCAGGTCTGTGCACGTCTGTGAGAAGCGCTGCTTGTGGTGTGGACGCACAAACATGCTGAACCCTGTGGGGAGCTTCACTCAGACCCGGCATGGCCCCCACCCTGCCCCTGCCCCCGCCCCCACCCCACTGGCTGTCCCCACGCCCACCCCACTGGCTGTCCCCCACGCCCACGCCCACCCCACTGGCTGTCCCCCACGCCCACCCCACTGGCTGTCCCCCACGCCCACCCCACTGGCTGTCCCCCACGCCCACCCCACTGGCTGTTCCCACGCCCAGGCCACTTGCTCTGCAGCAGGGGGAAGTCCTCCGGCTTTGCAGTGGTCAGGGCGGCCAGCACGGCCAGCACCTTGTCGAGGTCATCGTCTTGCTTGTAGGCTGTCAGCGCTGCCAAGAGCTGGCTACAGCCTGCAGACCCCAGGGCCCTGCGGACATCTGCCAGGTAGGCGCTCACGGCGCGCTGGCCCTGCTTCCCTGCTCTGGGCGCTCTGGACCCCTGCTGTGGGTGGCTGCCACGGCCTCCTGGTGTGGGAGTAGCATGGCTCAGAGTGGCGCTGGGGCGGAGGGCTGAGAGTCCCACCACCCTGCCTGCCCTTCCTCCCACGAACTCCTGGAGAGCTGCTCAGGACAACTGCGGGGTACAGAACCGGGAGCCCCCACCAGGAGATGCTCCCCACAGGGGCAGCTCCACTGGCACCTCCGGTTCAAAGGCTCAAGCCACACTCAAGTGTTAGCCTCATCAAGCCACTGAGGAACCCACCAAGTCGCAGGCTGCACACAGTTCAGGACTCAGCTACCTGTGGGGGGTGGCCTGGGCGACAGGTGGGGCCTGCCCTGGTTCAGGTGCTCTCGGGGGTCCAACTGCTGGGCTGCAGCCTTGGACACAGTCAGCTTGGGATCTAGCGCTGTCGTTCCTGATGAAGAGATGCAGAGCCACAAAGCTGGTCCCGAGCACCTGGAAAGTTCTCTTGGGGCGGGGGAAGGGCTGGCTGGGGAGGCCAGGCCTCACCCACCTCAGACCAGGGCGGAAAAACCCAGGCAGGCACACGTGCCCAGGTGCCAGGGGCAGCAGAGGAGACACCAACTGCTGGATGGGGGCTGGAACAGTGGCAGGCAGGCCAAAGCCCTGCTCAGGAGCTCAGAGCCCCAGGGTGGGAACCAAGCCCAGAAGGGGTCTGGGGTCTTCCCAACAGGTTAGGTTCCCCGCTGGGTGAACCCTGTACTGGAGGAGCTCTATGGGGGCTGTTCGTTAACAAGCACGAACACAGACACGCCCACCTCTGGAGGCTTGGACTCCACCCTAGGCAAAGGCAGAAGTAGGGAGGACAGGGGTCTAGGGGTCTAGGACCCTGGCGTGTGCAGTGGACTCCCCAGGGCTGTGCATGGGGGGCAGGGGACACGTGCGGCAGCTGGACAGGGCTGTGTGTAGGGGTCAGGGGCTGTGGGAAGGGCAGGGCCCTGCGTGGAGTTGCACAGGGTCTCCCCAACAAGTGATACTGCTGCTGGTGGTGGGGGGTGGCCCCCATCACTCCCACACGGGAACAGAGAGGCGGGGCCGCGCAGGGCCCCAGGGATGCCCACCCCAACCAGCCCAGGACTCCGGTGCCTTCCACGGAGGAGTCTGAGGGTCCCACCTGAGGCCCCATTTACCAGTGGGGTCCAGGGCTGGCTGTGCCCGCTGCCTTCGGGGAACGCTGTGCTCTGGCCGGTAGCCGCAGCCCTGTCCCGTCAGCTGGATACAGACCTCCTCAAACTGCCCCTTGTGGTGAGGCCGCACAAACTGGTAGAAGCCTGTAGAGGAAGGGGTGTCTGTCCTCATCCGCCCCCTTTTCTCTAGAGAACAGAGACAACCTTGGACCCAGATGGCCCCCACCCCACACAGCGGCAGCACTGCCCTCAGGATGGGCGGCCCCTGCAAGCCAGGGCACCTTGGAGCAGGCTGTGCTTCTTGGGGTCCTCAGCAAAGAGGGGGCCGAGACAGGCGGCCAGGGCGGCGAAGTCATCGGAACCCTTGTAGTCCTGCAGGGCCTGGGTGAAGGTGGCAAAGTTGGCTTGGCTCAGTTCCTGCTTCACAGCCACCATGAAGAGCTTGGCCCTGTCCATCTGTGCGCCAGCCACGGGCTCCTCCTGCAGCACACAGGCCCGAGGCTCGATCAGGACCAGCCTCATCATCCCGTCCCTGGAGCTGCAGAGCCTTCCTTGGAGCATTGAGTGTTCCCCGGGACAGTGATTGCTGAGAGGGGGCTGCTGCCTGAGAAACTGGTTGGCTGGATGGACACGGAGGTGCTGCGGGGCTGGGCCTGTCTGGGTCACACAGTGAGAGGCTGGCAGGGAACCGAGGGCAGCGAATGGGCAAAGGGTAGACTGGCTCTCCCTCAAGCTGGGGGTCCTCTCTCCTCCTCCCTAAAGCCCCCACCCCACAGCGGACACAGCTGAGGCTCCAGGATGGCAGATCATAGGGAGGGGCTTCCCAAGAAGCGGTGCCCATCTCTCCACACACCCCAGACCAACACGGAAACGTGGAAACCAAGGCAGGGGCAGCCCTGGCACTCCCCACCCAGGCCCTCAACAGCCCAGGCCCCTCGGCAGCCGCCCACTTCCTGATGGCACCAGCCCTGCCTGGGCACCACCCAGTTCTTCCCAGAAGCCAAGGGACATGGACAAAGGCTGCCACACTTGGGGCTTTCCAGCAGGCAGGGGGCTTCCTGGCTCCGACTACAACTCAGTTCTTTCATCCAAGGCTGGGAATGGGCTGCGCCCCTCGCATGAGGCGGGTGCACGTCCACACTTGAGGGAAATGCCAGGGCCAAACCCAGTGCTGCAGCCCCCAAACCAAGCCTGCCCAAGGGCGGGGCCTGATCCCAGCTGCCCTTGAACCCTTGGGCCAACAGCTTCACAGCCGCCCTGGACATCAGCACCCGGGGGTAACTTCCCTGGTCCCATCGGGCCCATATCCCAACTTGGCTGGGGGCACCCAGGGCCGGGTTCCCACACGTGTCTACGGTGGTCGGCACAGGTGCAGGGACAGCTCACGCACCAGGTGGCTGACCAGCCGGATCTTCTTCCTCCCTCCTCGCAGCTCCTCTGCCGGCCTCTTCTCAGCCAGGAGGGACAGGGTGGAGCAGCTGTGGGCCTGAGGAGGACACAGCTGTGGTTCCAACCACACACTCCAGGGCCCCAAAGCACCTGGGCCCACAGGGAAGATGGCCCCAAGGAGCCCTGAGCAGTAGCCAAGACGAAGGTCGGGGGAGGGGGCGCGGCACACCCTGGTGACAGTCCCACAACTTGGTCCTGTCCAAGTCACGCCAGCGGCTCATGAGGCTCACAGGTGGTGACACGTAAGAGCAGGTCCAGGAAGGACAGTCCGACCACAGCGAGGGGCTGGCAGGAAGGGGACACAGGTGTCTGGTGCCTGCACCCGGGGCTCACTCCAGGAGCCTGAAGGGCAGGGACAGGCAGCAAGAGGAGAATGGCTCCCAGCAGGAAGCAGGGAGAAAGCTTCGGGTTGGCCTGAGAAATTATGGGCTTCTGGGGCAAAAGGCCCCAAGGAGGAAGGAACCTGGGTCCCAACCGCAGCACATTCCTGGAGAAAGGCCAGCCTCAGGCACAGCCAGGGGCGGGGGCACCCGATCTTGAGTGCCCTGAGCCAAGCTGACCTGCCAGAGAATCAAAGTGATGTGGGGGCACCCGCTGAGGGCCAGGGCATGCACCACCTGGGAGCCAGCAGCCTGTGGGTGAGGCGAGGTGGAGGGCACACACATAGCCAGGCAGCCGGGATCCCTCACCTGCCTGCCTGCCCGACAGGCAGGGGATTTACAGGGGTGTGTGGGGAGGTGCCTGAAGTCAGATGGGCGGGGTGGGGTTGGCCTCAGGAGACAGAGGGTCTGTGTCCATCCCAAGGCCCTGGAACTGCACCTGCTCCTCGCCAAGGTCCCCGGCCTGCTGTTCACTGTGCTCCAGGGCGGCCAGCAGCCCCCTGGGCCTCTGCCGGGCAGGAACTGGCTCCTGCTCATACTCCACACACAGGCTACTCTCGGGGTCCCCAGCAGCTGGTGATCCTGCAGAGTACCCGAGTGCGCAGTGAAGCCCACCGTGGGGCCCCAGCTGGGGGTCCCTGCCTATGACGGAGCCCCTCCTGAGGGAGGGTCCCAGCATTTGGGGGCCCCTGCCTGTGGGTGTCCTCCCTGCTATTAGGGGGA